GAAAGTTCCTCATTTATTTCCGATGCCAACATTGCTACAACATTGCAGCTGTTATTAAACAATGCACCTCATCGTAAACTCAGGACGCGCATTTTATATAGGACGTATGTTTTACGGGTTCTTCTTTATAAAAAGATGCGTGATAATGCGATCTTAGAGGACCAGTCCAGCTGGATTTATGAAATATTTATTAAATATTTATTAAATAATTGCAACTATCTATGCAAAATTATAATGTGAGAACAGTTATATGTTTCTCTGTGTGCATGTTAGTTTGTGTGCGTATGTATATGTATGCGTCTGTGTATATGTGAGTGTGTGAAAAGACATGGGAAGAAACATTATTGTAGTTTGGAAATTATCTCTATGAATAAATCGTCGAAAATTCCTATTTAATTGGGCCGTGTGCAAGGCGACGTATTTATAAAATCGGCAAATAATTATTAATGACAAAATGAGACCTGGAAATCATTCAAATTATTCATCGACCGAGACTATTAAAAGTTGCTTTGTACGCTATAAAAGTTACAAAGGCCAATCATCATTAATTTATTTCATTAATATTTCACTGATATCAATCTTGATTAAATGATACAAAAAGTGACAAAGCGAAAGACAGAAATATTTATTAACTGAATAATATCAATTTCTACGTTTTTCGACTCTACCTCGGGCAAATATAGTTTCGTCTTTGCTAATGGTGCCAATGGTACGTTTTTGATTTCAGGAGACAGAATTTCAACTACTGCAATTTTTTTTAGGCAAATACCGGCCTCTTGTCTTCTGTGTACCGGGTATATCCAGGACATGTGCGGTCATGGTTCACCACATCTTCCTGTCCTTTGCAACTTTACTAACACTGAAAACACTGCTTGGTCACCTATTTACAGCTACCCGCTGTTTCAGTCTACCCGTCTTAACATCTATATGCCCAGTGAGTGTCAAATTCTTCAAACTCTTGTTCTTTATTCTGTGTTCCAGAAATTTCAAATGTCTCTTTCTGATCGTAAATACAAGTGTTCTTTTTGTTGCTGATAATTTCCACGAGAAATGAAAATACAAAAAAAAAATACTCATCATCCTTCTGCAGGGCAACATCTCTGTTGTTTCCGGTCTGTAATTCATCTGTGTGGAAATTTGCCAGTTTTCAGATTCGCCATGCAGACGGATTGATATCAGATAGCAGTTCAACACTTTTTATTCGTCACGTCTTGTAAAATATCCTAAATTTACAGATCCGTATGACGAAATAGCCCTGTATTTCATTGCCCTTGATTTATATGCACATACAGGTTATTGCATCAACAAGTCGGTAACACATCCAGTCTATTTCATCAAACATTTTCTTTTTCAATGACAGAATGAGTCTGTCCCGGTTTTTCTTTGTAACATGGAGCCAGTGTCATTGGCAGGCGCTGGTTTTCAACTCTCTTTGAAGGTAAAGGGTTATCTTCTGCTCATAGTGTTTTTATCCAGTTTCTTTAAACTTTTAAAATTGTTTTGGATGGCCTCTTTATACAAATATGCCCTCGTATTCCTGATGTCTGCTACATCTCTTCAGAAATAGTTAGCTTTCTTTACGTGATTGATTCTAAGATTTCCAAATAGGAGATCCCACATGGTGTTCCCATCTGGATGTTGTCTATACGTTCTCTCTAATTTTTCATTATGACACCGTCTCAGCCCTTCAATTTTCGTTCTCTCTTTGTATTCAACACAGTGTCACATGCTTATCTTATGTTGTTAACTGTATGTGAAACTATAACAAATTGTGTTAGGATACCTTGCTCCAAATTCTTGCGCTGAAGGTAAAATAGATCTTCTAAAAAAAATAAAATTGTCTTACCCACACATTTATTTTTGTGCACGTACTTAGTTCATTTTCACAATTTATGCCAACGATTTCAGCTGAATAAATATTCTTCTTAACATCTATCTCAAACATATAATGATTTCCTTACAATTTAAATAGTTATTTGGTTTGGTGTGGTTTACGGTATATCAACCTCTTATTGGTTATTTAATGCCGACAAGGCTTTTCTTGCTGGTATTTATTTTCAAAAATCTATTGCAAGTAATAATGCATTGCTGATAATAATTTTTCAAAAATTTATTACTTGTAATAACGTTTTACAAAAATGCATTGCTGATATTAAATCCTATTTTTACACTTTCAGAGTGTTTTCACTCCAGTTTGCGTGTCAACTATTTGCCCGTAGCTGGGACCCTAAGACGTTATGCCATCGCGGATCAGGGTGGACCTGGAAGCATCAATGATTAAGATGTGGTTCCACGCTCCTCAAAACCTCCTGTTCAGAGGCCTCCCTGTTGAATGTAGTTTAACGTCTTACCCAGGACACAGATGTAATTTATCGTCTTACCCAGAACAGTAGTTCTTTGAGTTGTAACTTATCAAATACTTTTATAGAACGTAAGTACATATCTATCTACGTGGATTTTGCTTGCTTGAATCAAGAAATAACATATTTGTTAGCAGAATGATACCTTTCTTCCGTAAGGAAAATGTTGCAAAAACAAACCTTTCTGAAGAGCTATTCACCATAATTTTTCTCGGTATAAATTTAATTCATGCTGACGAAAAGTATCGTATTTACTTCGAATAAGCTTCCGTTGCTCTTATTTAAAAATGGACATTTACAATCGTCGGTTAATGGAGAGACCTCTTATTGAAAGATCCAACACATGTGAAAAAATAGGAGCACATATCTTTTATAAATTTAAATGTTTCCGTTTATTCTTTACAAATTAGAAAATCAAAACGATGCATTTTCCAATAAGAGGAGCAGACATTTCTCTAGAACACATAATATTGCTTCAAAATAAATTAAAATTCTTAAACACTTGCGAGAAATGGTCGGGAGGGGTCCACGCCCTTAGAAAAGAAAAGACCTAATTATAGATTGTTCGATGACGGAAACATTCACGGAAATTTAAACAAAAATTAAATGAAAATTTGAAATGGCTATAAATATAATTGTGTTTAACTGAATTTGTGATATCTAATTTCACTTACGTCTCTTTCTTCAGTAGTTTTATGATAAGATTGTTGGGATATGTTTAGTTAAGATGGACCAGCTGTACCGATGAACGTCGCCGATATGTTATTATGATAATTTATTTTATAGTCGTAAAAGCTGTAGTAATATCGTTGATCGGAATACAATTATTATGGATTGAGGCAAGGTAGAAGTAAAATCAAAACCCGTCTTATATAACGTCGAATATGGTATATATATATATATATATATATATATATATACACACGTATGTCATGAACGATAGTATCGGGACTATTGCTATGCCAACAGAGCGAAATTATACAAAGTGAAACCACATACCATATATTACCTTTGGCCTCAGATTGTCTAGCATAAAATTGTCATAACGTTGTCGCTCATACCATTTTGTTTATATCAGTGCTTAGACGGAAAGTACATACACCTCAGATGTTTCATTAGTGAACGTTATTTGTGGAAGGTTTCTTGGTCAAGGAAAATATTCCCCAGGTGAGATAATTACAATATCTTTCATATATAGTCACATGTGACCTTATCTTCTTCAAAAATAAATTTCTTCCTCCGAGGAGATTAAGCGCACAATTGATATGCATTCTAGTTTGATTTTATAACGCAAGTCACGATACTTTTAGATCAAAATTGGCATATATATATATATATATATATATATATATATATATATATATATATATATATATATATATACTTTGTCTGATGATCGCAAGGACGTGAAACCCAGAGTCACAAATTCATATCCATACAACTAAGTATATATATATATATATATATATATATATATATATATATATAATGAAATGGACAATATCCGACAATTATTTTAAGACATTATTCTTTTATGTTTATGCGTTCTTTTTATAGTAAATGCTCTGTTTATAATAAACAGTACTAACGACATTTACCGGCCTGAATGTCCGAGAAATTTTCATAGAAAATATGCGTCTTCCGACAGGAATCGAACCTGTATCCTATACGGAACCGTCATATAGCCTGACATGCTTTTTCGATTCAGCCACAGAGGAGCGTTTCGGTGAGCAAGGTCGAATTTACTGATTTTAAACTACAATTCTCCCTGATTTTCTCTCCTACATTCATATCTGCTCGATGCGTATCCAAATGTAAACAAATGACGTCACATATTATGAAATGGACAAAGTCCGACAATTATTTTAAGACATTTTTTTTTATGTTTTTACGTTTTTTTATAGATAAAAATATTTAAGTAAATGCCCTGTTTATTATAAAGAGAGCTTTTTCTTAAATATTTGTATCTATAAAAAGAACGTATAAACATAAAAAAAATGTCTGAATATATGTGAATAAATTTTATTAGTAACGCGTTTCATCCGTGAGGACTTCATCAGACTGGGTTTATTGACATTATTGTGAGTACAAACCCACTCATACGAAGTCCTAACGGATGAAACGTATTTGGCTTCCATTTTGGCTTACAATTTCCTCAATATCCTTATTGATATATAAAAAAATATATATCTTTATATATATATATATATATATATATATATATATATATATATCATGTGCGTGTGTCCAGATATTCTTGGTAACCTGATTAAAGCTGGCGGGTAAGAACGTCCCAAGAAATATGATTACAGCAACAACGATGAGGACGATAGTCCAAATATATATATAGTTTAAACAATGGTAACTCCTAATCCCAGAAATTCAGTCACAAAATAAATTCTGATGTTTGGCACACGTTCAGATTTGTTCGGGAGCATGCGTCTCGCCAAGAAATTTACAGCACCCCTCCAATGTGTCCTGAAGATTATTGATTTTATATCTGAAAACCCTAGCGAACAAGGGGGGAAAGATGCAACTCGATTGAAAGAAAGACCTCAGGTCGTGCATAGTGAAAATCACTGGTGAAAGACCTCTTACAAAATATCTCAAACCCACATGCAATAACATATTTCTTTCAATATGTCCGAGGATTGTCGTCTCTCTGTGACATTAGCTGAACTGGGGGTTTTGCTTAAGACCGCCTGCCGACAAATAGTGGCTTGTTATTCAGTCTTTTGTCCTAATTGTATGCTTGAAATCGGCCTCAAAAGTGTCAGCTGTGTGCGCTGAGATACGTCATTGTGGATAGGGTCGGTCGAGTTCCATTGTGTCTTTTCGGGTTTCAGTTTCAATTCTTTCATTTTCATTTTTTTTTTTGACGTCCTTTTGCCTGGGGCGCAAAATATGGAATTCCTTTTGTGACCATTATAATATTTATCTTCACTTATAGATTTCTTTCATGAGTGTCATATATGCAAGTGAAAGCCAAGACGTGATAAGCTATTCATTAAAAATGTTCTGCATTATAAAATCTATACATCGAAGAAGCTCTATTCTTAAGTGTCTGTTCCAAACGATCAATCTGCCTCGATCAACTTGTATATCGCATGAGCTATCCTCTAAAACCATAACTTAATTTTACTTTTATTAGCTTTTGAGCAATATTTAGCGATGGATAATATATATATATATATATATATATATATATATATATATATATATATATATATATATATATATATATATATATATATATATATATATATATATATATATATATATATATATATATATATATATATATATATGTATGTATATATATGTATGTATGTATATATATATCTATATGTATATATGTATATATATATATGTGTGTGTGTGTGTGTGTGTGTGTTAAGAAATGGACAAAGTCCGACAATTTATTTATTAAAGACATTGTTATGTTTTATATGTTATGTTGAAAATCTTCGTCCTTTGACAGGATTCGAACCTGCATCCTATACGGAACCATCATTTACGCTGACGTGCCTTGACCGCAACCGAACGATACTTTGTGGCCGAGCGGTCAAGGCACGTCAGCGTAAATGACGGTTCCGTATAGGATGCAGATTCGAATCCTGTCAAAGGACGAAGATTTTCAATGAAAATTTCTCGGACATTCAGGTCGGTAAATGTTATTTAATACTGTATATTATAAACAGATCATTTACTTAAATACTTGTATCTATAAAAAAACGTTAAACATAAAAATGTCTTTAATATATATATATATGAGTTCTACTTTCGACAGAAGAACTCGTTGTGATGATCCATATTTAAAGATACTGATAAAAATGATCGTTTTTTGGGGTTTTTTTTTCTTGCACTGCTCCAGAAAATACCTTACTCCTACTCCCATGCTTTTTATATACAAGAGTTAAATCTGACAAAATATAGAATACTGTTACAAAATCTAGCTTGCAGCTTGCCAACTTCTTTCTTTCATTGACAGATTTCAAAATATCTCTTGTTTGGCGATAAACTATATTTATTTCTACTCCTCGCTATCCTCCCTTTATTTCTATGTCAACTTTTCAGACGATCTACATTTCTTAGTTTCACAAGAACATCTAGGACCCAACACTCAAATAATCCTCATTCATTTGGATTCAATTCGTATAAAGGAAGTTCAGCTCACTTCTCGAGAATCACTACTTTTTGGAACAGACTCAAGAATGGATTTTTTCCGAACACTATAATCTTAAACACTTCAAGACTCGTTTTTATCCTACGTATTACATGATCCGATCTTTCTCCTCCTACGTTCATAAAACAATCTTATTAAAGAGCTATATTCTTTAAATGCCTTTTGGCATTGTATTGCTTGAACATCTATTAAACAATCGTAAATTCCCAAAATTGCCTCTTATCTAAAAGACGTAATGGATATGATCGTCTATATTAAATCAGACGAATGCACATAAATATAGTTAAATATAGTATTAACTAAATCCATTCAACAATTTTATATCATATTAACATTGAAATTATATTAATTATATTTTCTGAATAAATTATATGGTAATTTTATATGTTCATTCAACTCGTGTGTAAGGAGACATTTTGCTTTATAAAGCAAAATAAAGTTTACAAAATATAACTAATACGACGCCTAGATTTCAAAAATGAAGGCAACATGTAAATATTTTGCAGTACGAGTGACTATAATTTCTGCATGATATTTATCTATTTCTACTATTTTGAACGTTATTTTAAGTGGATAATCATATCTGAATAGACGCATTATTTATCTATTAAGCGATATACGTATTTATTTTCGTGTATCAGGCATGAATATTTGAAGAATCTTCTTAAAGACAAATGTGTGGTTTCCGGTTTGATTCCATCCTGCCCCCACACCTGGACAGAGGTGAACATTCTGAGAGGGATGCAGGTTTTAATCCCGACTGACAGCGCTGTTTTTCTTTAATAGGTTATATATATATATATATATATATATATATATATATATATATATCGTAATATACGATATCGTAAATCATCAGACCTACAAATTCAAAAAAAAAAAATCGGAAAATGTTACACTGGGTCATATTTTCCGATTTCTTTTGAATTTGTAGGGCTGATGAATTGAGCGTGATTACGATTACAATGTAATAAATTATAGCCATGTAATATTTGTGTTTGAGTCTTTTTATATTATATTCTTACTCTGTCCTGGATATTGAGTTCTACCTGGATTCTATCCTCTTGGGAATTTATATATATATATATATATATATATATATATATATATATATATATATATATATGGATTAAGAGTAAAAAAAATATTCAAAGATTGTGCAAAGGAATTACAAGTCAATAATTTTTTCAACTTGTTGGCCCATATTTATTAGTGAGGTTTCCATTTTTATATGAATATTAGGCTTGTCTGAGCTTAATATATACTTGGACACTTTGTCCTAGTTTTATCGTTAGCAAGCTTATCTCGCTAGGTCAATTAAGAATTGGCAGTGAGTTCAATCTTCATTAGGTTTTCCATTGTCTCACCATTGTACATCGAAGCTACGATTAGTAAACTGCCTGAATGTATTCTGCGGTACTTTGCAAGCATGTCTCGCTAGATGAATTACGATTTAATACTGTTATGGTCAGGTTCCTTGTACCACGGTGATAGTCCAAGGTAGAACCAATAAAGAAGAACCCGAACACAGGTATGGCATAACACAGATATATTACAAACAGGAATATATACAGAGAGGTAGAAAAAGGTTAGTACGAACAATTAGGTTTAGTAGTATTTGTCTGAACACGACTCTGTTTTGGACTGCCTCTGACTCGACTGACTGACTCCTGACGGACTTCACTCCAGGCTTCAAATTGAACTCTAGACCTCAGACGGAACAGTATGTAGTCACCCGCCACCCACGAGGGCATCATTTGGCACAAGGCTGGTTTAACGTGGGATCTCCGAGCCCGTGGACTCGGCCAAAGATATGCCCTTCGAACCCGTATAAACGGGTTCTGGGTCGGTTTACCTCCCCGAAAGAGACTCCGCCCTTCGGCGTAGCCTCGTTCGGGTTCCTCCCCGCCCGAATGCAGAGACTTCAACCGATCGGCAAGTCAGCCGGTCGTCCGACCTCAGACGGAACAGTATTTAGTACCCCCACGAGGGAATCATGTGGCACAAGGCCAGTTTAACGTGGGATCTCCGAGCCCGTGGGCTCGGCCAAAAATATGCCATTTGACCCCGTATAAACGGGTTCAGTGTCGGTTTACCTCCCCGAAAGAGACTCCGCCCTTCGGCGTAGCCTCGTTCGGGTTTCTCCCCGCCCGAACGCAGTGAGTTCAACCGATCATCCTGTCGTCCGACTTCAGACGGAATTCTCTGCTTCCTCTTGAGGCGCAGTAGTTATTACATATGGAATAGTCCATTATGTTATTATGGGTAAGGTTCCAAAACACACCACTTCCGAAAATTTTGCGTAGCAGGAGTTTTTTAATATCATTTTAAGGTTCTGTAAATTTTCTTTTTCCAGACGATTTTCTTGGTCCTGGCATGATTTGCGGTCTTGTTATGTCGAATGTGTCGAAAATCGTATCCAATACCTCTTCTTTAGGTGGACCGTTAGCATCCTGTAACGGTCTCTTCCTTATTTGGTTTACGTGTCTTCTGTGTGAGAATTTTTTTCCTTGAACTATGTACATCATATTGCCAATTCTTTTCTCAATTATCCCTTGTTCCCAGCAAGAGGTATTATTTTTGTATGCCTTAAAAAAAACTTTTTTTTCCCTGGGAGCAATTTTCTTTTTGATATTTAGGACTGTGTTACTTGTTTTATTTTACTTGGTAGTAATTTATCGAACGCTGATCTGATTTTCCTAGCAAACATGATACCTGCTGCTGATGCTTGATGGTGTCGCATTGTTTGTCGTTATTCTATATACCTGTATGAATTGCTGTAATGCTTTCTCCGTAGACACATCTTACGTTTTACGTAATGCTCTTTTGAGATTATCAACGAATCTCTCCGCTTGTCCATTTGATCTTGGATGGTAAGGCGGGGCTTTTATATGTTTTACTTGATAGATTTCGCAATACTCTTGGAAATCTGCAGACGTGAATTGCGTTCCGTTATCTGTTACTAAACAGTCCACTGCGCTAAACCGAGCAAATAGCTCATGTAGGAAATATATGGTCGTTTCTGTAGTAGGATTTTTGCACCGAAACACCTCCGGCCATTTATTGTAGCTATCAACTATGATTAAATAGTAAAACCCGTCAATTGGTCCTGCATAATCTACGTGTATTCTTGACCATGTCGATCAGTTTCAGGCCAAGGCTTATGTATTCGCGATGCTTTAGCAACTAAATTACAACCCTTGCACATTTCCGCCATTTGAGAAATATCCTGGTCCATATTATTCCAATATACATAGCTTCGCATTAGCGACTTCATTCTATTTTTACCCGAGTTCCCTCTGTGGAAATCCATTTGTATCCGTTTTTGTAAAGTTTGGGGGATTACAACCCTTTCGTTGTAAAGTAGCACATTATCGCATAGAGAAAAGCTGTCCGAAGTTTTCTCATTTTTTCCTGCTATTTTTGCTTTTGTTTCATTAATAATGAATGTGAAATGTGACTGGGAGGTTTCTGACTGTACAACATAGTACTGTTCTTATGTCTTCTTCATTTCTAAGGGCTGCGATTACCGTTTCTTCCAATGGCTCTGTCTTTGTTGG